AGAACCTGAATAGAAATTTGTTTTAGTTACCAGAGATTACAACGAATATTAGATTCCATACTATTATAAAGGACATTTTATATAATTTCGTATATTATGAACAATTTCAAACATGTATACGTCTTTAAATTTCCCATGAATATATAAATCCCATAAATATCTATCGCATTAGACTCACATGTAGTGCCTTTTTGCATTCATCACAGGATATACTTGCTCCCTTTTGATTTTTTCAATAGGATTTTCTTTTCTCTACTTTATTTTATTTTAGAGCACAATAATAACATATATATCACATGAAATAAGTTTTCCAACAATAGGTTATCGCACTTAAGTTTTTGAAAAAACAAACTCTTGCGTTATCTGTGGATCTACTACAATTCGCGAGTCCACATATGGAAAAATATTTGCTTAAGTGCAATTTTGATGGGGGTAAATATTTTCTTGGCCAGGTTGAATAGTCGCGAGTACACTCAATTCGAGTTATTGCGCACTATTTCCTCATGAATGCATCAATTGTTATTGCAAGAACGTTACGAGCGAGGCTAAACCTTCGTCGCCGAATAGTTGCCATCGTGAATCTCCGAGGTCATCCTACCAAGTATTCTGGCACTCTTTTCGAACGTATATGTAAGTGTGATACGTGGTACCAACACAGACGTACAGAGCCAAAAGGACGTGGGATTGGCAAAGCTGATACGCCACCCTCCCAAGATATCCACACGCTGTACTTATCTACCTTCTTTCCCAAGACAATTTTCACTCTTCCGACAATGTGATTTAGTGGAGCATTGGGCCACGAGAAGCGGTAATTTCCATGCATATTTCGCTCCGCGGAACAAACCGGTAAATGTATTTACCACGATCCGATGGTAAGTCAAACCGTGAATGCGAGGGAAATATGGTGTTTTTCACGAAGTGATAAGTACTTACGATATGAAAACATGGAAATTTAAGTTTGAATTCTAATCCTTTATCCCTTGATATATAAATTCCTTTTCGGTTTACTAATAAAAATAATTGAATATTTTTTGTATCTGTGTTTTTAAAAATAAAAAACAAGTAACACGTTCCATAACACGTCTGTAACACGTTCTATAAATATTTATTTTCGTAAAAAATAGAGTAGTTTGAATCCATAAAGTTTAGTGGATAAAATAATTGGGTAAATTGAAAACAATATATGCCCGTATATATGTATCATACACACATGTGTTAAGTGATTAAAGTTTATAATGAAATATAGAAAGAAATAATAATAACGATTGTAACAAACTTTTGTAGATATTTACGTGTAAATAGTTGAATTGGGTTAAATTCGAGATGAATGAAAATACCAGAAAAGAATATTATACGTATTATTCTTTCTGCAAATTTTACAGAGAAAAGATATTTCGATTCCTATTTTTTCACGCGGTAGTTTCGTTATTTTATTTTATTCTGCTGCATTTTATCGAAACGACGATAAATCGTCCTGCTGGAAAGTATTTCGTGAAATAAGTGTTTTCTGTGATGATAATAGCGTTTGATAGCTTGTCGTGAAATAATTTTGCAAATAATTGCTTCGCGCCATCAAACATAAACGAAATTTTTATCAAAAGCCGATTTACTGTACGGCGCTAACTTACATTAACTTCCTTAAATTTTCACGCGACAATGGAATGAACAAAGTTGTCCTGTTAAAAACACGACGTGACGTAAATCCAACAAGACGCGAAGTATTTAATTGACGAATAATGGAACATGATTGCTAACGATGCGAGGTGTTTCGTTGATAGGAGCAACGAACGCTCGTTGGCTAACCGAACTAATTGAAAGGCGAATTCGTTCCGACGATCGATTCGTCAAATAATCAATGTAGTCAAAAAAAGAGCGAGAAAAAACAGGTTCGAATGGATGTTAACGCAAATGATGCAAATATAAAATATTTGCTCGGGAGAATGCACATATTTCAGAAGCTTTGCAAAACGAAACGTGGCGCAAGTATAAAGCTTTTTCCACGTTACAATATTAATATGCTTGTATTTTAGCGAAACGATTTAAAAATGATTGCCTGTTCGTTTAATTGTTTTCGGAGAATATTCCAGACTATAATGGTCGAACGAATGTCGAATGGATATGTGAGATAAGAAAGAAATTTAAGTGATTCTTGGTCGCGTCCATTTCTCCAAAGATATTCATCAGAAGCATGTGCAGGAGTAAAGCAATGGAATCTGCGGCAGTCCATTAAAGTGTTACGTAACGCCGATGAATAGAAGGAAGCTGGAACAAATTACCAGCTTGTTTCACTTTGTCCCGTGAAACAAAGCGGTGATTTAAAGACGCGTTCCAAGTTTCGACGTTGTGGTCGTAATCTCACCCCCTTCTCGCGTGTTATACTCGTCCATTATAAATAAATATATAAATTCAACGAACTACTTCGAAGTGATCCTGTAACACGTGAATATTTTATCGGACAATTTATATGTTTTCAATGTAACACGAACGGTAAAAGCGATGGGGGATAGGATTTCATTATACGTTAACGAAGAGGTTATTTCCATTTCTGTGCACTTCGCTTACTATAAAGTATTGAAAAGAATCATTATTCCACAGTATCGGACCGATGTAATTACAGCTTCGAATAATTAAAAAACAGGAATTTATTTTAGTTCTCCTGCAAGACGAACGTGACTGGAAATTTTGAAGAGCTATTCATCGAGAATCCAACGAAAATCAATTCTTCTTGTTATCGTAATCTATGCATGTTCATTTTAGGATAACATTTTTCGCTAAAGAAAAGAAAAAGAACGAACGCAGCAATATAGTGGGTTGCACAAACATAATTCGATCGTTTGTCGTCGCGAAACTTTGAAACGTTCGCACGAACCATAACGGCTTCCGACACGGCGGATAGCGAGCCGGAAATCGTATGATGAGGGACGAAATGCTAGATGAAACGTTGAACGAACCACTGTGCTGGACGTATCACTATACGTGGTCAGGATCGAACAAACAGCGGCGCTGCAACTTTCTGAAGTTTCGGGAAAATTGCTGGCTGGGCCCAAAAGCTCGTCAACAGAAAAATTCTGGCAAAGAACATACATCGCGTCCCTCCTCCGTTTTAACGCGTAGCCATTTTTTGTTACAAATGACCGGATACTGCCCTGGACGGGTACCGACAAATACCTACGTCGCGTTCGTTATAAAGTTTACGTCAGTCGTGTATGGTTAAGCCGTTAAGCGAATAGAAAAAAGACGCGATACTAAAAAAGAAACTAAAAAGAAAGAAAAGAAGGAGGATGGTTGGGTGGTAGGAGAAAGTATAAAAAAGCAAAAATGACGACGTAGGTAACAAAAGTTCGTATAAATATTTAACACGTGTTACCTGTTTCCAGGGTTTTACTGGCCGTTTTCTTCTATAGAAAGTAAAAGGTTGAACGAATCTGCCCATTTTCATTAGGCGGAATTCGAAAAAAAAATTAGGTCTCAGAAAGCAAAAGTTCGTACAACTTTGGGTTAATTAGTTTTATTTGGAACCTGTAGGTTGCCAAAGGAACTGGTCACGTAAGATCAAGTGATTAATAGGTTGTTAACGAGTCTCGGAACAAAATAGCCATTATCGGGAAAGTGTATTATATTTCTTACCACATTTCTCATCAAGATCAGTCCAGAATAGCACCAAGGTTAAATGGAGGAAGTAACACGTTCTCCTAATCAGCCTCGTTACAGACGACTGAAGTACGTAGTACTTTGATGGCAATTACCAAGTCAACAACCCATTAAGCTACGTATATTTTGAATGAAGCTTCACCCGCCTGGTTGAAGTCGTTTTTTTTCATGAATGTAGAATTATGCGAATAGACATAATACCGTGTTCTCGCCATTCACATAGCTATTTAGTGGCACTCGACAACAAAACTTTTCAACGGTTTCCTCGGTACAAGTATCACCGAAACGTTAGCGCCGACAGGCCTAATGAACTATCGATATCTGTTTCGTCCCGTGGCCTGCTACACAAAGCGGATTCTATCCCTCGGACAAGATGGTTTCCAGATGTCTAAACATCTTCATTGCATACATTTAACAAGCTTAAGGACCCGCCATGAGTCTTACGATTTCTCTATTTAACACGTTGGTCGCCCAGCGTAATTCGGCTAAGTTTCTCGCAAGGCCCAAATCCGACCGTCGTACGCAGAACGTAAACAGAGCCATAAGCGGGAATTCATTGCTGTATCGCCTTCTATCCATTGTAAAGAACAAATTATTTAATTCCGAAATTGGAGAAAGCGATAAGCTTTCCAGCTAGAGTATTCCGAGGGATCTCTTGGCGGACATCCCAGATCTTTCATTCAGTCGAGAAGCATACTTCTTGTGAGACGCACGAGAGTGATCTTTTCATCCTCAAAATGTTCAGTAGACAGCGTGAAAATATATTTGAAAGTGAGGAGAGTAGTGATGACAAAATGGTGAATTTTAGAAAAAAAGTTAGAAATAGAATTTCATTGAGTTCGGACTCGGATATTGAGGAAGCATATGCAAGTGAAGATCTTGAAGACATGTTGGAAGAATTTTCTATAGACGCAGAAGAGGAATTGGACTTTATTGATGATTCATTGAACAATATTCAGTGGAACGAATTCGCTAACGGGGAACTGACATTTCCGTTCACGGGAAAAAGCGAACTTCTGATGGATTTGCCATCTGACATTAGCGCAAGTGAAGTGTTTTCGTTATTCATTGATGAAAAAGTGATAAGCCTTTTAGTCACAGAGACTAATAGATATGCAGAGAAAAAATTACATCAGAAATGGAAACCCACCACTTCCAAAGAAATTATAAAATTTATCGAACTAGTGGTTTGGATGGGTCTAGTACAGGTACCGCTTGTTAAATATTGGTCAACGCACCCTTTTTACAATTTTTCATTTCCACGCAGCAGAATGTCCCGTAATCGTTTTTGAATTGCTATTAGGAAACTTGCATTTTGCAAATAACGAAACTATAGAACCGGGTAGCGGACTCGGAAAGGTTTTACCACTCATGAACATATTGATAGACAATTACCAAAAAAATTTGTTCACCAGGTAAAGATATTGTTGTCGACGAGACAATGGTTCCTTGGAGGGGACAACTAATATTCCGACAATACATACCGACGAAATCGCATAAGTATGTATAAAACTATTCAAACTGTGTTCCACCGAAGGTTACACATGGTCTGCAAAAGTATATTCTGAGCGAGATATCACCGGAAGTAAGCAAGTTGGCATAGCTGAAAACATCTGCATTGAACTTGCGGATAAATTGCTAAAGGAAGGACAAACTTTGTTCGTCGACAACTTTTATGCCAGCTATCAGTTAGCAGTCAAATTTTTAAATTTTAGGACCCATATCGTTGGAACTGTACGACACAACAAAAAATATATGCCCAATTTCGTAATGTCGTACCGGTTGAAGACAGGTGGAATGATAACACGAGAAGATAAGAACGGTATTGTGATGCTTAAATGGAGAGATGTTCAAGATGTTGAAATATTATCAACAAAACATGCACCCATTATGATTTCAAGCTCGAATTCTACATATCGCGGACGTCCTCTGAAACAGAAACCTTTGGCGGTAATTGCATACAATAGTGGAAAAAGTGGTATCGACAGAAGCGACCAGATGGTCTCACATGCCACTACGATACGGAAAAGCATCAAGTGGTATTGGAAATTAGCACTACATTTAATCTTAGGAACAACTATAACAAATGCTCATATTGTGTACCAAACAGCCACAAACAAAAAATATCGATAAAAAAATTTCGGGAAATTCTCGTTTCCGAATGGCTCGATGTGTCTTCAGAAAATACTGTGCCCGACAACCATCGGGAGAAAACGAAGGTGTCCCACCATTTGGAGATTCGTAAAAATCAGCAGGGCAAGCCTATAAGAAGGATGTGCGCCCTATGTTACAAGAAGAAGAGGCAAACTGTCGCACCCCAAGAAGCGAGAATAAACGTAAAAAAAACTACAACATATTGTTCGAAGTATCCAAAAAAACTCCAAATGTGTTTGGAATGTTTTAACGAATACCATGCGATATTGCATAATGTAATATTTTATCCAGAATATAAATTAATAAAAAGTATGGTATAATGTCTTTTTAATATTTTTATGTTGTATATCCTATACATAATATCCTATATTTAATTAACTCGAACAAGAAGTACGTCACCCATATTTGGGCGACGGGTCCCCACGGAAACATACCCGTCACACAGGTATGGGTGACGAGACGACCAACGTCTTAAGATCCTTCAAACCGAACAAATATCTTTTAGTTGTAGCATTCCTTAAATTTATTATCCACTCCGGAAAGAAACGGGAAATCTGGTTTTTCTCACATATGATGCTTCTCGCTAGCCACTTTCACTCGGAGACAGCTAGCATCCTTCCTCACTACCAACATGGTAGATTAACCAATTAACAGCGACGTTCATTTTCCTCACTTTCCTAACGAAAACTTGCCCTTAACAAATCCGCTTATCTCGTCATCGTCATAGAAAGTTCAGTTGCTCTATGTTTTTTTGACCAGTCTTCATCTTAACTTATATTGCGTACTCTGCTCGATCGCTATCTTAACTTATTGCTTATCAGTCGAGTTTTAACCGAGAAGTGAGAATCGTGAGTTGGAATTGAGAGTTGTACGTAAAGAGTCGAAGGCGAGAATTGTTAACAAATGTACTGTTAAGCACCGCCGTGTATTCCTTTGGCATCCTACACCAAAATCACCTCATCTATTAGGATTTTGTGGTTCTCGATTAGTTTAATTTGCCCCCGTTTTATCGCGATAGAAGTCGAAAAGAGGAAAAAAGATATAACCGTTTGATCGAACACGATGTTACGCTGGTTCCGAGAACGGATTTTTCTGTGTTTTCGCATGAACGTATCAAACAACGACCTGCGAATTCGACAAGAAATTTCTCATAGATTCTAGATGATATTTTATTAAATCTGTACATCAGGGGTTGACTTTTGCTCAATTTTCCCCATTCAAATTTGTCATTGTTGAATAAATGTCTTGTATGTATAAAAGAAAGTGTCTCAAAATATATTTCTTTTAATGCTATTTTTTACTCATTCATCGAAAACCCTTAGTAAAGAGTGTATAGACAGAGGCGAAAGGCGTATATCGTTATTTTTACAAGCAATGTATTATTAGCAACTGCGTGTTGTTAAGGTTTGTCACGTGCCATTATTCCGTGGTAGCTTATTAGAAAGTTGATAACAAGTACGGCGCTTGTCAGTTATTTTTCCCCCTCGATACGCAGTCCTTTCGTTGAAATCCATTTTTACATTCCTTTGATCTACGTCACGGCATGCGTAAACGTCTCTTGGAACATAACTTAGAAATACGAGCGCATTGTATCGACGCGCAAGTAAGAAAAACAAGCAGAAGAGGGACGATATATGGCTTCCACTTACTGGCAAATATATTAATTCGCGCGAAACGCTTTCGTCACGGTTTGCATGCATTAAAATTTGCATCCGGCGTCCACGGAGTCGCGCGCGCGCGCGGAAAATTTAAAATTTAAATCACGCGCGCAATCGTAACACGTGACGCGGAGTACCGCCTTTACCGTGTCGCGATTTTTATTGAAAATGTACTCTCGAGGTGCCAGTTAATGCATAAATCGTTTGCTTTATTACTTTCACGATACCGTCTACGAGACGTTTTTCTTCATTTTACGTCTCCTTATATTTTAATTGATCTATAGTGATTGATGATAAATGGCCGATTCATTAATAATTTTCTATTTTAAACCAATTCTCCGAAGAATTTGCGTTTCCTATCTATATCATTCTCCTAGCAAACTGATAATATTATGAAATTTTATACATTTTATATGGAAAGAAATTTTTGTATGCGTCATATCCTAAATTGAATTTACAGCATGCCACAGATGTATGATTATTCGTACGACAGATTTATACGCGTTTAGTTTTATTCGTGTTAGTTTCGAACAGTAGTTAGCTTCCCGAGGCATCAATCTCCCGATGTTTCAGCGACGCGTTCGTAACCCCTGTATTTTTGGCTGGTACACAACAAAACGATATATCGCCGTTCGACACTCAAAGGGTTATTTCAGCGGTGCGGTTTCGCCCCTCGTAACCGTTCCCAGAAATTTATTTTACGGTCCCTCCGGCCTCCGGTGGAAAGTGTCTAAACGGAAACGCGCGATTCGAAATGAAAAAAGCTAAAAGCCATAACTCTCCGATATATATAATCAATCAACGACGTGCAATTAGTTGAAAAACAAATCCCTCACATTTTGTTACGCTTTATTTTATAATTAAAGTAGTTAGAAAATTATAGCTAATTGTAAGGAATGTAAAAAAAAAAAGATTCAAAATTTTAAAAAATTTCAACTTCAAATTTGGGGAATATTTATGTCACATATCGAATCAATAGTCGCAGCCACGTGAAAAATCTTCCAAAATATTTACTGCTTGTACATTTTTTTTTTTTTTTGCATTATATCTCTTTTGTCATTTCTCATTCTCATGTCATTTGTGTACTTTATACGTTAATATTTTTATATTCTTAGAATACATATTTCGTTAACGTTGCTACGATCTTACTCTCCTTTAGTAAACAAAATGAATTTTTCGAATTGTTTAAGAAGTTCAGCGTAAAATTTTGCAAAGAAAAATTTTTCGTGTTAGTAAGACTTGCTTCAATTTTGTTTAAACTACAGATATTTTTTAACATTACAAAAATATAATTGGATCGAAAATGACCGAAACAAGTATTCATATATCATCTACTATCTTTCATCGTCTGTCTCTTTTCCTTTCAAACGTATGCTATTAATATCGAAATTTTGAACTATAATACAAGCCCCATTGCTTGTGGCTAACTTTTTAAGTAAACAAGTTTACACAAGACAGTTTCAACATCGCTATATGTCCTCGGCTTCTAGCAAGAACAGTAAACACGGTGAAGCACGTTTTCGCCTTCGTCCACGACACGATACAGCAAGAGCCATCTTTGAAATTAACCAAGAATTCTCAGAGGACGGCCGCTGCGTGGTCTGTGTAATCACTTGACCTAGGGCTGAACAGATTTTAGATAATAATACCGTCCCGGTTATATGCTTACTGCCTTAATCCACGCTTACGACTGTAAGTCCCTGCTGAACTTCCGCTCCTTTCGAAGCATACGTAGCCACGTTTTATCAAGATTAGATCCGATTAGAAGATTCACGCGTTGTCGACAAAAGGTGTTGAAACGCCTACGAAGAACCAGGCCTTCCATTCGAACGAACATATTCTTTTAAGATTGCGAAACCTGCGTGCTTCTGTTACGCGTATTTAAACGCAACGGAATTGAAATTGAATCGTTTTGAAGGATGCGTTTCATTTCAGCAGCCGCTTTTGCGAAACGATAATTAAACGTTTATGTCGTCGCATTTCGAATTTCGCCAAGATATTTGTTCGACACAAATGTGAAACCTGTCAAATAAACGCATCGCCATAAATTAATTTCGTGAGGGGATTCACCGAAATGAACATTGGATTTTATTTGTACCCTGCCTTTCTTTTTCTGTTACTTTCTTTTCGATCCTTTTATCACTCGTACTGTCTTCTTCTACATTTTCCCTTCATCATTCTCATCAAATCTGCACCATTGTAACGCAACCATCTCACGCAAATTAAGCGATCAAATAAAAAGGGAATCAATTAACAAATTCCGCAACAACGCAAAAAACATTTTAAACGGAGCATTTTAGCCGAAGAAAATAATTACGTTGCGCAAGTGAAGTGAAAAAGACGAAGTAAGAGAGAGATTTTTCCAGCCGGGCTGGTGGTGTAATTTAAAGCAGCCCAGCGGGTAGCAAGAATATTTGTTTCTCGGGCGTGTTCTCGTTGAGGATCGAAATAAGGAACGGTGAATCGCAGCGAAAATCCTGTAAGCATGCTTCCGTGGCGGGCTTTTGAACGAAACAAGCCCGGTTGGTTTTAAAGAGCAGCTTATTATACCAATACGCTGTTTTCAACCTGCATCTCTCTGCCACTTCTTCATATCTCCACCTGGCTGCTCGATGAAATTTTGCTATTGAACGCACATCGTTACACAGTCCCGCCTGTGGCGCAATAATTAAGGTGCACGTCTATATCGTTCGCGATTCTCCTATTATATTGATCTGACAACGATGGCACAATGTTAATTACGGGCTTAGTCAGCCGTTCTTCTGGATATTTTCATCGTGATTAAGGGTAATTCCATATAGAGCTCAAATTGTAACGCCCCCGCTGATTTCATTAAAAATTTTGCGCCACTATTCATCAGTGTTACTCTCGGTACGCGATTTGTTCTTTCGTCATTTTCTTATTCGTCTATCGTTTGTTTCTTTATAATCTCCTGTTGCTAGTTTATATTTGGATTTTACCTATTTAAATTATCGGTATGTTTAGCCTCTTATATACAGGGTGGTTGGTAACTGATGGTACAAGCGGAAAGGGGGTGATTCTACGCGAAAAAAGAAGTCGAAAATATAGAATAAAAATTTTTTTTTATTTTTTTTTTTTTAATTTTTCCATCGAGACAACGATCTACAGTGAGATCCGTTATAACGTACCGCACGCGTACCGAGCGAAAATCCAAAGTCAATTTTCTCGAAAACAAAGCCTCAAACGAAAAATGTTTATTCTATGTTTTCGACTTCTTCGCGTAGAATCACCCCCTTTCCGCTTGTACCACCAGTTACCAACCACCCTGTATAATAAAATCAAAACTCGTAGCTAGGATCTGCTTTATATTTACTTATTGCAAATATGCTTAACAATTTGTACATTCACGAAATATAAGAACATACATAATAAAACTCATTTTACAAAAACACAACAGAGCTCCAGTTCCAACTTTTAAAAATCCTAGTACGCTGCCTTGCCTATACTTGTTCCTGGTTCTTCCATATCTGCAATATACTTTTGCCATATGGGATACCGCACTTAGCAAAACACCGAGACCGGCTTTGAAAAATTCAACACAACTTCTTGCTATCTGCAACTGTTTCCTATCTTTTAAGATATACTCTTATGAAACGGAATAACCACAAATGGTATGGCATAATATTTAGATTTAATTTATATCCTCTGTATAACAGACGTACTGTTGTGGCATGCTTCTGCGCAACATTGTTAATAATAGAATTGATCGTCCTGCTTTTCTTAATCTAGCGAAATTACATGTAACATCTCACACTGTCACACATCCAAACCTATTTTATTAGCCCTTTTATATATCTAAATACGATCACATTGATACCATTGATAAAATCTGCAACAGATTTCATAATTATTTTCACCTTGTCTCTGACATCGTCGATAAAGTTAAACATTCTATATAGTGTTTTCTTTACGACACTATTCCTGTTCTAGGCTAATCACAACTCACATCATCTACTTGTGATTTTTTGATCTACCTGTGATTTTCATTGAGCGAAAGATTTTGTTTTGTTCTATACGTGCGATGTTTTTCTATACGTTCTGAAAGAGCTTTGCTCGTTTATTGCCGTAAATAAATAAATAAATAAAATTGCTTGAAACTAAAAAGACACAACTTTTTTTTCTTTTATGACTCGTTGATTTATTTTTATGATTCTCCTCTTGCTTGTTTACGTTACGACACCATGTGTTTACATTCTCTCTGTATTCGTTTAATTGGAATTCTCCGCATTCTCCGGATACTTCTTCGTGTGCTTTATCAGAAGAAACAGACCTTCTTGAGAAAATTTTGAAAGAAAAGCCAAAATTGACTACTTAGACGGTTTATCTTCCATTCTTTGCTAAGAAAAAGACGCAAGTCCGTAAGACAGAACACGAAGCAGTGGTAGGAAAGTTTCCATTCGACCAGCGAACTTGTTCATCTTAAAACTTCGCCGTGTAATAAAAAAGGAAGTATCGAATAAACTCGGGAAACAAAAATGTCAAAGATAATCTCGATTCATCGGCAATAAATTTCGCGGGATCAAGTTAACGTCAAAGATCGATCCCGGTGATAGCATGTGGATCGTTGGTGCGTAATTAATAATTAGTGGCTGGCCAGAAAATTATTCACTATTATGGTAATAGCGATTAAATCATCCCTGCCGCGTGTTACCGCCGCCGATTTTCCACAAAGCGGTTACCTAAGCTTTTGTAAATTTACATACAATAAACCACGCGCGTTATCTCAAACGTAACGTTGCAAGAGGATCATAAGGAAAGAAAAGAATAAAAGAAGAGAGAAAAAGAAGAGTTAATAATCGATGGTTAATAATCGAACAATCGTTAACTGCATCTCCCTTGGTTAATTGAATGAGAACGCGAGCCGAAAACGAAGGACGAGAAATCCAGCCTATTTCATTTCAGATTATCTTCCTCTCTATCGCTTCATATTCGATCATCGATGTATAAAGAGACTCGTTTCTCCCTTGTGAATTTTTCCGTCGTATCCCCTCGACTTTTTTATCGTGAGTCACGCAACGATTCATTTCGATATCAAAAATCCGACAAAGGCTTTTTAAAGCGCGAAAATGAAAACGAAAGATTATCTTTCGTCCCTATCCCCACGCAGTCTCGTCGATTGTCCGTCATCCTAGCAAAATAAAGAGACACGAGGAACGAACAAAAGAGGCAAAGCTAAACGCTCGAGTTTCCGTGCCTGTTAGACGCGTGAAGGATTCTCCGTTTTTACAAACGAGCTACGTCTAAATCTCGTGGTTTAAAGATTTTCTCTTTCATTAACGTTTTACGATTCTCCTTGAAGTTTTTTCCAAGCTAAAATGAAGATACTGAACGGATCTTGTGTGTTTATTCTGCGTGGGATCTTTTTTAACGAACAGATGAAATCCAACAACGATTATTCGACAGAGAGATTCCTTGCGTGGAAGATGAACGGTTTGACGGCAATCAACGAAAGTGGAAGAATAGTACGCGCAGAAGGGAAGCTGTTTGTCAGCTTTTTTTGTTCTTTTGTTTCAGAAAATTGTACGAAATAGTATAGAATATCGAAGATGGGAATGTTATGGAGATACACCGCGGATGAAGATTGGCATGTTATGGATAAGTATATTGTTTAACGATGAGGAGGGATGTTGAAAATAGAGGGAATAAGTGGAACGAGTTTTACGAGCGTGTTTTAGGCCATGAGAAAAAGAAGAATAATAGATGAAAGAAATTCGTAAAGGAAAACTGGCAAATAGCAAAAGAAAAAATAATAAAAATTTATGTATATCTATAAACCACAGGAGCACGATATGGTAAGTACATTCTCGTTGATTTTCTAATTTTAATATCACTTTATGATTAAATAGAAGGATTTTAATATGACATAGTTGAAAATTTTTTTTTATTATTATTTATTTATTTACATTTTACAATTTGCCCAGTAGGACATTTGGTAAAATATTATAGCTTAGTGATATAGCAATATAGCATGTGGGTGGCTACCCCCAGTGGGATACCATCTTCAAAATAGTTGAAAATGAAAACAATCTTAGGTCTAAAGATGTATTTAAAATATCAGATAAGTTGACCAAATGTTATGAAAAGCAAGAGTGTAATTATTAAAACATGATAGATTAATACATATTTTATAGAAAATGTCGTATGAGGCAACTAATGTATACAAAATTATATAACTCCATTTAAAAAAGTGGAGGTGACTTTGAAATCTTCGAAACTCCTCCAGCTGCAAAAATTTGTTACTGCCATATTATAGCTTCTTCTATACTGAACAACATTTGTTAATAAAATTTTCCCAGATCTCTATAAACAACGGAAATATTCAAGTGCCAATTCTCTTATCGGACCATTCTGCGTAATAAAGAATAATACTGAAAAATACTATTAAAAATATCGAAATGGAAAGTAGATCTTACATAAATACAATGCTTGAAACATATATTTATATACCTAACACTATCGCTTCCTTTTTCTGCACGCTTTAACAGCAAACCAACTTAAACTAGTCGCAGAGCACAGCACATAGAAATAAATCGCCGATCAGCCAGAATAAGCGGGCTACAAATCAAGATAGCGCTCGTTTGGTAGCCGTTTTCAGCGACGTTTCACCATTGCATCTTCCATCCCCAAATCGAGAGAAAAGGAGGTCGGAATAACGACAGCAAAAGGTAGTAGCAGAAATCTCAAAGAGTAAAGTCTTTTTGGTATCCATTTTAAATACTATTGTGCACACTTTTACATTACCGTTATTGAAACGATATTCTAACATCAAGTGAACGTATGAATATTTTCATTTAGCAATGATGTTTACATTCGGTGCGAAGGAAGATGAAACACTATCATTTTATCGCTAGAAGAGGTGAGAAAGGGAGGGACGCAGATAGAAGCAGGAGAGGAGCAAGAAAGGACGACAGCAGACCAAATTATAGAAGAAAGAAGAAAGAGAGAAGCAGAAGAGAGGGGGAAAAGGATAAGGGAATCCAAATATAATATACACTACAGAAATATAGCCAAAGAAAAATTACCAAAGTACTTAGAAGGGAGGATGAAGTGGAGGGACAGAAGAATACTGGCAAAATTCAGATGTGGAAACGAGACCAAAGCAGAGGAATACTGGAAAGAAGAGGGAGAAAAAAGATGCAGACTATGTAGAAGGAAAGAAGAAGACCTGAGACATGTAATAGAAGAATGTGAAATAACAGGAGGACCAAAGGACATAGGAAAAACGCTAAATAAGATTGGAGAAGGTTTAACAGAACTGAAAGCAATAATAGAGAAGAGAAGGGCTAAAGACCAAAGTTGCAATGGTTTTAAGTCATTAGTTGCTAATTTGTAGTTTCTAGTTTTAGTTTCTAGAAATAGAATAATTAAGATAGTGCAATAGAATAGAGTGGAAAAGAGGGGAGGTAGACATATAAGAAGAGAAATAAACGTGAGATGTAAAACCGAAAGTTCGTCCAAAACCGAAAGGCACGGACTGAGCAATAATAAATAAATAAACTATCATTTTATTACATCGTTCGAATACTTTTGTGAGACACTTAACATGAATGTTTCTAATAAATGTATCACAACTCCTGTCTATATTATTGAATCGTTTTCAAATTTTACTGATGTAATCTTGACACTTTCCCGCCACTATAGATACCAAATTATTTTAACAAATTAGTTTAGTACACCTCATTTTATTAATTGAAATTTGTAAGTGTAAGCGTTCGAATACTTTCGTGAGCCACTGTATCTAGCTTCGTAACTGAAACTTCAAAACAGATCTCTCTTTGTATACATATTTTAAAAACTTCAATTTACTACTTCTGGTTGTGTTTCAAGCCCACAGAGTTCAATCAAAGTACAAGTTATTTGCAATAGTGAAAATACTTTACGTAGTATTCTTGATGTGATTCTTTATACTTTATGTAATATCTTTTTAGTTATAAATCCATGGGAAATTCACAATTAGAAAAATGTCCAAAATGCCTACGAACTATGAACATATGTATACAAACTGGAAATTTTTGAATGGTTTTATAATCATATTCAAGGTATAGTACTCGCTATAACATGTAATGGGTGAAACAAATATTTATGTAGATTCCATTTTAACCAGTTAACTGTGTTATCTTTGACGAGTGTACACGTCAAACAAAAACTTTATTTCGATGCGCTTGTATTTATTTACGCACTCCATGACCTAACTCCATAAGAGAGATTCTAAAACTAAATTCCGCAGTCAATTGGTTAATAGTTGTATCCATCAAAATATTAGTTTGCACAAATATCAGCAGTCTACCTATGAAAAAATCTTCTATACCGCATAGAAGAGTTGTATTCGTAGGAAAAAAGTACAAGTGTCGTTCACTATCCACTTACACCGTACGTGAAATGTTTGCTATAGAAATCCCAGTCTCGGTAGTAAACGTAAAAGAATATTCCAAGAATAGAAAAGACACATCTAACGCGGGGAAGTTTGATCGATTCCGAATATTCTTGGAAGTGGAACGTTTTATGAGGGCCAATTTAACGTCCAAACTTTACGATGCCGAATACCTATCGCGATGGTTGATGATAGTCGCACGAGAATGATATACCGACGATTCCAGAAATAATATTATACTGTTGTTTGAAAGGTTCGATCAGCAAGCACATCTTACCAGATATCAAGTCGATAAGGCAGAAGCTTTATCCTTACACTTGACGAGCGATTTTCACGTCTTCGCATTTCGCTTACTTTTCCTAAACGTTTGCTTTTCCCTTCTGTCTCTTTTTTTGTTCCTTTTACCTTCGAAAACACGACCTTTCATCGTACGTGCCTGCTCATCCTCCCTTTTAACGAGAACGCAAAGTCGAGAAGATTACGAAACGAATGAGCTTCAAGTCGCAAGAAAAAGTTCGCGTATCGTAAAGTTCGGCCCCGCAAAATCCGACGGCTGGACGGACTATGAAATTCCAAGCATGCCATCAAATACCGTGTTTAAATATTTTTATAGTGCCCTGAGTTCTCTCATTGTTCGCGAAACTATGAAGGAATGTGAGTTTCAATTAATTCGCGAATTATTAATTCTTCAAAGTTCCTTATCGCGATTGCAGATCATTACAAATGTCCGAAAATACAGTTTTCTAAACTGCCACGAAACTTCGAAACAAATTACCCCGAAGTATCTCTGAATATCGATACGTTTTCGTGGTTGTAAATGTTTTTGCCACCCCTTCGTAGCATTGGCCGACAAGAAGATTTTATTGCGTGTTTGTATCTAAAAACGGGATTGTATTTCTTGTTCGATTGGGAGTATTGATGTTATAGACAAATGAAATTAAATTCTGATATAGAATATATTTGTTTCGAAAATGGAAGATCCAGAATCCTATTATATTTTTATATGTATGTAACTTTATTCCAATTTTGCAGTATATATGATACGCCGTAATATTTTTAAATTACTAGTACACTTTCAAAATTCGAAATTATACAGCCTACTCTGATATTTGTTTATTTCAAATACGGTGCCAAACAAAAGTATTGGCATAGGCCGGGTCTTCGTATAAAATTCTTTGTAAATCTGTAAAGAATGTGATTCTCTATTTAATCTTTTTGTAAAACATAACTGTCGATTCTAAAGTTTAAATATACCATGAAACATGCATTTTAAAAATGATTTTAATAAACAAAAAAGGCAAAATGCACGCAAAAGTCTGTTTTCAGAGGAACAAAAGTATTAGCATACTTAAGAAATTTGTTATTACGTGTAGTATACCTAAATATTTCCAATGTTAGCATATCTGTTATATCACGGGAAGCTCCTCCATTCAAGCTGATGATCATTTTAGAGTTAGTAAGAATATTTTCCAGAAAGATAAATTACGTGAATAATGGAAAATAAAACAAAAGAGACAACAAGGGTTGAAAGAAAGGTTGTATTAAATTTATATGCGCAAGGAAAATCTTATTCGGAAATAAGCAAAGTTATTAACAGAAGTCGTTTTGCCATAAGAAGTGTGATTAAATGATTTCTTGAGAATGAGATCTAAGAAATACCACACGAAGACACCGTCCTTGGGAGCTTACAAGCCGAGAAAGAAATATAGTCGATATAATAAAAAAAGAACGTAAAACTATATCATTGGAAATAGCTGGAATAGTAAAACACGAAACAGAATTTAACACGAAAATACAACACCCAGAACTGCTGGATACGAATAAAGAATTGCAAGAAAAAAACCATACATTAGTAAAATTCATAAAAAAAATTATTGATGTTCGCTATTAATTATGTACACGAAAATACAACTTTCTGCGACAAAGTATTGTTTTTAGGCGAAAGCAAATTTAATATTTTTCAATGGAATGGGCGGTTTTTAATTTGATGAAAACCGAATACTGAATCAGATGAAAAAATTTGTCCAAACCTTCAAACACGAGAGTGGTGGAGTAATGGTATCAGCGTGCATGAACATTTCTAGTGTAGGAGAACTTGTTTTTGTTGAAAACGCCAAGCACAAATATGATTATTTAAATATTTCAATATTTCAATTTCTAAAATTGAATTTAGGGCAAGATTATTATTTTCGGCAGGTTAATGATACCAAACAGCCTACATTGTTAGACATTACATTTTAATACATCGCATACGTTAACGACTCCAACACAATCTTTAAACCTAAATCTTATTGAGTATCTTTATCTTATATTACGTCTAAGCAAGACCTAAATAAAGTACTGCTGGAGGAATGACACCAAGTAGATCAAAAAGTCACAAAAATATTAATACATTCAATTTCTAATCGCCTGAGAGCTATTATAAAAAAAGGATTGTTTACTAGATATTAAACCAAATGTTGTAATAAATTTATATTGCAAAATCGTATATGCACCAATACTTTTGTTCCATTGAAAACGGACTTTTATATGCATATTTCATTTTTTTTATTATAATTATTTTTAAAGTTTATGATTCATGGTATGGTTAAACTTACATTTTATAAAAAGAATAAATAGAGAATCACATTCTTTAGAAAATTTACAAAGAATTTTATATGAAAATCCGACCTCTGTCAATACATTCGTTTCACTTTGTATATAAACTAAAAAATTATTCAAGCTAATAATTGTTTCAAACTAAAAAAATGAGAATTTCTAATATCGACGATGATCTTTCACAAACGAAGTCTCGTTTTATGTATAGTCTAGCTTAATCTGTTTCAATCTACGTCTTATTGATATTCGTGATGATATTCGTGATTCGTTTTGAACTTTCCAAATCTACACGAGATCACCCATTAGAAGTAACATAATATGTAATAAAGAAAATTATTCAGCAACAGTTTCGTAATTACAATGTAAAGTTACTAACTCGAGTACGTGATTGTTAAAAATTAATACATCGATACTACTTTGATTTCCTGAAAATAACTCGAAGTATCTGTACTTAAAGGGTATTCCAATTTCTGCACTGAAACAGTAATCAACTGCTGATAAATTTATAGTAGGAATCTCTATTTGCTGTGGATGATATCTAGGAATAATGTTACGTACGACGTTATCGATTGAACATAGTAAATAACTTACCAACCATTGTCATTTTATCTCTGCTATCGTACAACACACGGTATATACACAGGTCTAGAAACTCCAGTCGAGGAGGTAAGGCTACAAACGAGATATACGAATAGACAAATCGCCCTTCATGGCCCAACGTAACTGCCATACCGACTGAGAAATTCCATAGTAACTTCAGCGTGCTCTACTCATAAACAACAGTCATTGATAAAATACTTATTAAAGAAGTATCAGTAAAAGCCAAACAGCATCATATATGAATGCGTGTGCTTATAGAGAGTAGAGACATTTGATCTTGATAGGCAATTTCAGGCTCGATGTAGCGACGATATATTTCGCACGAATACTATTTCTTGAATACTTTAGTAGTATGAAGGTGTACATTTGAATTACAGACATATTCGTATAAAGAAATAGACAAAAATTGATTATGTATTGGATTGAGTATCACATACTGTTGATTCAGAAATGCCACACTGGCGTGGTTTTACTTCGACGTTCGCCCACGTCGACGATTGTACAAAGAATACTCGTAAACACGGCCGTCCCAAGTGTTCGAACTTCGCATTTTCTTACAGAACATCTTTAAGAGTTCCTTTGACAGATACGCCATACATGTATGCATTTTAATAAATAAAGTTTATTGATCACATGTTTATAATTTACATTGTATCTCGCAGTCTAAAGAAAATTCAAAGCGCTTAATAATTTACGTGAGACCCATTTGTTAAGAAAAAAGATTCAGTAATTGTTATAATAAGAATATTTCTTATAATGTTCCT